GGGAGGGGGGGACTGACTGACAAGCTGGGGGCCGGTAGATGTGGCGGGGCCCTGTGCTCTGAGCAGAGTGGGAGGGGGATGTGCTGTTAGCAGACTTGTTGACCACTCTGGACAAGTTCTGAGAGAAACAGAGCTGCTGTTAGAAACACAGGAAGTAGAAAGAGAGAGAGAGAGAGAGAAGGGGGGGGCAGCCTTTTCCGTACTTCTTTTTTCTCTCTCTCCTGTGTTGTTTCTCAGCTCAGGGCCGAGGATCTCGCAATTCGGGAGGGAGACCGGCGAGTGGAAGATGGAGGGCGGCCCCCGCCTGAAGAGGGCCCAGGCGCCGCGGGCCGGCGCGTGAGTCGGCGGCGAAGGACGGCGGGCGCGTGCAGCCGCAGCTCCGATGGCCACTGCGATGATGAGAACGGCTGGTGTCACTCAGGAAACACGGTACGTGACGCTTCACCTTCCCGAAGGCAGGCAGCCCCAGCCGCTGTTGGCGTTCCCCACTCAGGGTCGCAGGGGAACTAGGTAACAAACAAAAGCGGCAGAAGGAAAACAAGCCTGTGTTTTTATTCATAAGGTGACTGAGCTAAAGTCACAAACTGCTGCCTTGCCTATTATTCCAGAATGTAGGTGCGGTTTAAAATCAGGAAATCAGTCATTTATGATGGTTTTTCCATTGTGTCAAATGGAAATCACAGCATAAAACAGATATGACATAAAGAAGAAAACTCATAAAACCTATTTAAAATAAGAAACAGAATTAAAATATTTTGAAGTTTTAGTGTATAAATAGTACCTAAAACAATTAAAAATATTAATTCAAGTATATTTGCAATTATTCATTTGAAATTATTAGACAAGAGAGAAGAGAGTATACTTTCAAATAAGTAGCTTCTTGTTAAATTTAGTGCTACTTGAAAAGTAAACATGTTGCTTTGATACATAGACCTGGGGCCATAGATGTGTTTTTTTCAGAACCATTTGTTAACGAGGCATAAGGTTCACATTGTGTATAAATACATCGCCTCGATGGTACACTACTGAGCAAGGCTATCACACTGAGTGTTTTTTAAAAGTAAACTGAAGGATGTCTGGATGCATTGTGGATGGAGTTCCCTTATCTGTGAAACGAAAGACAAGGCTGTTCAGGGCTGCTGGGATTGAATCAAAGTGCTGAAGGAGGAACAGGGAGACAATGTGGGGGTGAGTCAGCACGAGTCAGGACGTGCATGGGAAGGTCGTATGCCTATTAGTAACGCCAACCCCCCCCCCCCCATATCTTTCCATAGGGTCAGTCTAGAGTCTCGCCCCCTCAACAGTGGGTCAGCTGTCCCAGCTTCCTCCTGTGAAGCTTCCTCCTCCCCATCTGCTTTCCTGAAGACCACCTCAAATAGACCGGTGGGGCCTATGTCCCTGCTGGACCTGCAGCCCTCTTTGGCTTCCTGCCCCGGACCACTCTCTCCCAAGAACCACAGGCCCACATCTCATGGAGGCCCCACAACTCCTTCCATACCTGCCACTCCCTCCTCCCCCCCGGACTTGACTTCTTCGCCTCCTCAGGACTTTGTATCCCAGTCCCCCCCTACCCTGATGCAGCCCTTGGTACCATCTGTGCCACTGAGCATCAGCGTTCTGGAGAGGCTCATAAAGACATGTCCCGTGTGGCTGCAGCTGGGCATGGCGCCTGAGCGTGCTACTCTCATCCTACAGAAAGAGGTTCCTGGGGTGAGTCAGCAGCTCACCCACTACTTACAGGGTACAGGGTACAGGGTACACCGCAGAGCGAGGCTATCACACTGCATACAGGGTACACCGCAGAGCGAGGCTATCACACTGCATACAGGGTACACCGTAGAGCGACGCTATCACACTGCATACAGGGTACACCGCAGAGCGAGGCTATCACACTGCATCCAGGGTACACCACAGAGTGAGGCAATCACACTCCATACGGGGTATAGGGTACACCACAGAGCGAGGCTATCACACTCCATACGGGATATAGGGTACACCACAGATTGAGGCTATCACACTCCATACAGGATACAGAACCACAGAGTGAGGCTATCACACTCCATACGGGATATAGGGTACACCACAGNACCACAGATTGAGGCTATCACACTCCATACAGGATACAGAACCACAGAGTGAGGCTATCACACTCCATACGGGATATAGGGTACACCACAGAGCGAGGCTATCACACTCCATACAGGATACAGAACCACAGAGCGAGGCTATCACACTCCATACAGGATACAGAACCACAGAGTGAGGCTATTACACTCTATCCAGGGAATAGGGTAAATCATAGAGTGTAGCCATCACACTTTACATATGGTACAGAATCACAGAGCGAGGCTCCCACACTCCATATATGGTACTGAATTGCAGTGCGAGGCTCTCACACTCCTCACAGTAAAATGCAGGATATGGAGGTGGTTTTGCTGCAGTTTCCTGGTTTCAGTAAAAAATATAAATGATATAAAAATGAATAAAATTAAAGTTATTCAGTAAGCTATAAAAATAATGCCCCCAGTGCTGCTATGGGCATTGGCAGGTAGCTGTTAAAAGTAAATGTTTGGTCACAACAACATTGATTATTATTTTTTTTTTTTTTTTGGCTGGTATATAAAAAAAAAAAACTAGGTCTTTCTAGTGAGGAAAAATCCATGCCTGAAGAAGATGGTCCTATCAGTGCGCCTCTCTGACCAGGAGGGGGTGCCACAAGTCCAGGATCTGCTAATCAAGGAGCAGAAGTCATGTGAGTGGCCAGAAACGCAGGGGACCTGGCTAACATCCGGCTACCTAACATTTAGGTTTTTTTTCAGTCAGTTCTGGCTTCCGGCTGCCTCTGAGATCTCTGAAACCGCACCTCTCTCCTCCGGCGTCAAGCGAGGCTGCACATGAAAGCTTAACGCATAAACCTGTCTGGGTCATTTTTCAGAGTGACCACTTCCTGTTCTGAGCTGATGTGATAACACCACTTCCTGCTTGATGACTCTGCCAGAGACAGCATTCCTTTCTTCTCTAAATACAGAGAACCAAGAGACCTGTGACCCCTCTGACCGGTTTGTCAGGAGGAGATGCGTAATGCTATCAGAGTAATACGGAGGAGCCCCAGCAGTGCTTTGGGCAAAGTGTTATGCAGTCCTGTGCACGCTTAAGGTTCCTACCATGACAAAACAGGAAATTCTCTTCTGTGTGGTTATAAGTGTGTGTTTGTGTTTATGTATTTCTGAAGACCTCATCATTGTATCACAAGCCCAGTGCTCATTATCCCCCCCCCCCCCCCCCTCCTGTCCTCCATGCAGTGATCTACGTGGACGGCTCAGTCCTAGTGTTCGATGACATTTTCAAACTCATCGCGTTCTACTGTGTCAGTCGGTAAGAGAGTCCTGATGCCCTGCTCCGTGCTCTGCTCTCCTCGGCCCATGTACATCCATTTGCATTTCCGACAGCTGTGAGAGCTGATATCATTTTTCTCAATGGGGGGAATTTGAGGAACACTCTGCAGTTTATGCCATTGTGTTGGTCCCTTGTCAGGACGCTGTGATGGGTGGGGCTTTTAAACACTCAGGGCTCCCCTCCTGCTTGACACATCAGTACTCTACTGGCATTTTTCAACTTAAAAGGTTCCTGTGGTTTTTCCTTTGTCAAGCTGTGATCACAGCCAGAACTGTATTATTAACACTTGCCAGTCACTTGTGTCACTATCACTAGAATTTTTTCATCTCTTCGAAAATTAAAATATATGCAGTGTTACTTGATCCCTTTTTGAAAGTGGGTATCATTCCTAAAGTGCAGAACAGTAGTCAACAACAATCAGAGCATCGTCCATTATCGTCCATGTTCTCCCATGGTCCATGCATGTTTGTTGTTGGGCTGTAAATCGTAGAGATCTAGTCCCTCCTGCCATTAAGCATCATGCTCCTTTGTTCCTCCAGAGATATTCTTCCATTCAAGCTGAAGTTACCCCAGGCTATTGTCCGGGCAACCAAGTATGAGGAGATGGAGATGATCTCCAGTCTGGGCTCAGGTAAGCGGGCAGTAGTGATGTAGCTTAATAACTGGCAGAACAGGCAAGACTTGAGTCACCAAACCTTGAGCGAGATACTTGGTCCAGCTGCAGGAAGACGTGTTAAGGCTGCATAGACTTTTCCCATACTGAATGCGTCTGAGTTTGCATTGTGAAATTTTCAGTAGTGAGTGTCCCACTCTGATCTGCATTCTCACCATCACTGCCCTGCAGAATTCTGGGGCTCAGGCCTGAACCGGTGCCCTGAGGTGGGGAAGGTCTGCCCTGGATCCCGGGGCCCAACCCATGGCCACGCTAGCCAGTGCTCATGCGAGCTCCAGCCGTCCGTAGGGGATGATCGGCTGTGGTACGTTAATCCCATCTTCATCGAGGAGTACTGCAGCAGCCTGTCTCACACGCCGCCCCTCTCCAGGAGCCAGAGCCTGACCACCCCGGGTCAGGGCCCGCCTCGCTACAAGAGACCCCCGCCTCTGCCACCACGGCCCCAACTCTCAGAGGAATCAGCATCAGCCAAGCTGGCAAGAGGCCGGGCATCTTGGCCTACTTCCTCTGCTGCCCTACAGCACATTAGTAATCCCCCCCCGTACACTCCCAGGGGGCGTGCGGTAGGGGAAGGCCGGAGTGTGCCTGTGCAGCTTCCTCCGCCACCACCACCGCCATGCAGCTCCAGCATTCCTGCAGCAGCGCTGCCTCCAGCCCAGCAGTGCATCCCCAGCGTCCCGCCCCGTCGCAGGAATTTGGAAAAGCAGCCTGAAGAGCCCCCGGCGCAGGAAGAAGAACAGGGGGCCATGCCAAGTGATGCCGGTGAGAAGGTCTGCTCGGTGCCCGTTGCTACCCTGGTCTGCATCGAGGATGCGCCAGGCTCAGAGACAGGTCCTCCAGATGAGGGGGTTCCCATAGCTACCAAGTCCACCCTCCCGACTAAGCCTACTGACCCCGTGGCTCCTGCTGTTGCCCCGATAAAGAAACCGGTCCCCGTCCCCCCACCCAGGAAGAAGAGACAATCCCATGTTACTTTCCCTCCAGCGATTCCAACAATAGGAGAAGAACCACAGGGGGAGCAGTTGGACACAGTAGTAGAGGATGCTTCCTCCCAGACTTTCACAGTCCCAACACCAACGCATTGCTCCATCTCACACATTGACCTCCAGGGCTCCGATGTGTCCCTGTATTCACCCGAGGGCGGCGTGACTCAGCTCGACCACGACTCCTACTCAACAAGCAGCACCGAAGAGGAGACTGACGTCACTGGCAGCCCAGTGATCCCAGTGAAGAAGAGCTCCACCGTCATGCTGGACAAGGCCAAGCAGAGGCTCTCCATGGCCAATCTGTCCCACATCTTCATCAGCTTCATGAGTGCCGACAGGAAGCTGAAGAAGCGCATCGTAGAGCTGGCCCAAGACCGCGAATCCTATTTTGGAAATTTGGTCCGGGACTATCGGGCCTTCAACCTGGAGACCATGGAGCAGCACAGCTCGAGCACAGAGATGCTGCAGGAGATTAGGCTGATGATGACTCAGCTGAAGAACTACCTGATCCAGAGTGCTGAGTTGAAGGCCATCCTAGAACCGGTGGTTCATCCTGAGGAAAAACTAGGTAAGGAACAACTTGGGCACACGCCATGGAGCTTAGAGCTCACACTATTCTAAACACTGACCTCCAGCACATACCATCCATCCATCCCTCCATCCATCCATCATCTATGTACACACACACACACACGCAGTACATATAAAAAGTGTACACACCTCTGTTAAAATGCCAGGTTTTTGTGATAAAAAAAATAAATACACCATGATAAATCATTTCAAAATGTATCCCCCCTGTAATGTGACGTATAACCTGTACAATTCAATTGAAAAGCAAACAAACCTGTTAGGAGGAAACATATAAAAAAAATGTAAAAAACGTACAATAAGCTGGTTGCATAAGTTAGCATACCCTTAAATGAATACTTTGTTGAAGTGCCTTTTGATTTAATTCAGTCTTTTGGGGTAGACACCTGCCATCAATTAATGGGACTGATTAACCTCAAATAACGTTCAGCTGTCCTAGTAGGATTTTCCTGACATTCACTCAGTAGCATCCTACAGCAAAAGCCATGGTCCGCAGAGAGCTTACAAAGCATCAAAGGGGTCTCATTGTTGAAAGGTGTCGGTCAGGAGAAGGGTACAAAAAGATTTTCACGGCATTAGATTTTTGAAATGATTTATTGTGGTCTCATCACAAAAACCTATGCATTATAACAATTACACCTTTTATATCCATTGTGTGTGTATATGGATGTGTGTTTGTGTGTATTGCCTTCTTTTCAGGGATGTCACATACCACAGAATGCTGCTGGAAGGGGTTAAACGTGTCATAATCCCCTCCCCCGGCACAAAGAAACACATAACGCTGAAAAGCATGTAAACCATAGCAGCTCATGTATAACTGAACTGACAAATTGAGCACCGCCAGGCCAGGGGTGGCCATGAGTGTGGAAAAAAAGCTGGGGGGGGGGGTCCTCAAAGCTGTAATATTTCATTACAGCTTGGATGGGGGAGGGGCAACTTTGTCTATCCTGAAAACTGTCACTAAAAATCCTAATAGCAGACGTATTGCTATCATTTAAATTATCATATAATGTTGCATAAATAAATGTTAATTCTGTAAATTCTCTGGACCTACACTTGCCTTATGGAAGATCCCCCCCTGCCTCAGAACCCTGTTGCTAACAGTGTTGGCTGTATTCTGTCACTAATAATGATTGGGTCAGCAGGGGTGCATGTGACACTCTGCACTCTCACAGACCGGTGTGAGCTAAACAGAGCAGGCACAACCTGTTACATAACCAGCGTCCACCATTTGTATAACATTGATAACTAGGGAGTGAGGGAGTGAAATATTTTCACATTAATCGCTGCAGTGTCACCAGTCATTTGAAACTCTCTTTGTAAAAGCCAGCCGTTGCCTTGCTGCTGTCTTTTCACTGGTATTTTCAGTGTCGCAGAACTATAATCATTCATATACTGTATAGCATATGAACGGCGCAATGTGAGGGCTCAGATCTGCTCAGAGATAAAAATATGAAAACTATTTTGGTCTCCTAATGCATGGTTGATGTGGCAACCGATTCCTGTTGTGGCATCACCTTTTGTTTCCGGATGTCAAAAGGCGCTGTAGGAAACGTTTACGAGCAGAACTGGTGGAGCATGCACGCATGTTCCGGCGCAGGAATTCTAATATGACAAAACACGTAATTACCTCCATGATGACTAAATGTAGCAAGAAAATCCCATCCTGATGATAAAGGGAGCGATGAACAAGGGTCTCAATCATACTCAGGTTTGCTGTGACGATGCTCCCTTCAGTGATGTGTGACACGGGCCAGGGATGTCCTTCACGGTGTTTTAAAGCAGGAATCACAAGCTTGTTGATTTGAACAGATAAAACGATATACTGTATAGGCACATTTAACAATATGTATACAGTAGTGTGACAGAGTGAGTTCACCCCGTGCAAAGGTTTGACATTTTAATATATTTCAGCAAGATATCTGAGCAGCAGTTAAATGCCATCAATAGGTTACAGTGACCCCTTTTAACAAATAACAATGGACCATTCCTTACATTCATCTATCTTCTAACTGTTCATCCTTGTCAGGGTCGAAGAGCAGGAGTCTAGAACAGATCCCAGGAAGGTGTTTGACGCAAGGCCGGTGTACACGCTGGATAGGATGCTAGTCAATGGATATTTGTACTTTGCAATAATTTATTCTGTTTTGTTTATTTAATAAAAGTCGACAAAACTGCTTGGGGCAGAAAAATAAATACAGCACTAGATTCAATGGGGCAAAATGACTGTAGTGTCACTAGCTGGGAGAAAACATGGTTTACTGTTCCACAAACTGCTTCATTTGGATAGTTTTTGAAGACTTCTTTTAATGCAACATTTCAGTTGGATGTATGTCTTCATTCTGACTTCACTCTAAAATTACATCTTTTTCGAGGTTTTCAGTCGTGTGTCTGCTGCAGTGTTTGGGATCCTGCTCCAATGTTCTCTGCTAATAGTACATTGCTGAATTCATTGCAACACCAATTTTCTCATCCATGAAGCAAAGAAGTAGGTCAGATTTCCCAGTGACCAATGTTATTATTTAACTGTCATCACCTTACCTGTATAACATTTAAAGAAGGATCCAATACATACATGTCCGTCCATCCATCCATCCATCCATTCATCCATCTATCCAGTTTATTTAAAAGAGCTAGACTTTGCTTTTGATGACTTCATTGTCAGTTGAGTGATACAGAAAATCTCCAAAGACCATGTATAATATAGAATTTCTGAGTAACAGGATATTTTGTTAATTTAAACACGTCACAGTTATTCATCTCCTATATATTGTAAGAACATAAGAAATTTACAAACAAGAGGAGGCCATTTGGCCCATCAAGCTCGTTTGGGGAGAACTTAACTAATAGCTCATAGTAGTTGTTAAAATGTATCTAGCTCTGATTTAAAGGAACCCAAGGTTTTAGCTTGCACTACACTATTAGGAAGACTATTTCGGTTGTTAAAACCTTCTCCTAGTTTTTATGGCCTAAAGTGGAGTTAAAACATAATTAAGCCTTTGGGAATGCAATAATGATCCTTAATTTGCTTCGGCTGTGAAAATCCTATCCATGAATGTGGTGAAGGTGAGTCGCAATCATGGTTAAGACTATGGAGCTTTTTCACAAAAGCTGAGAGAAGAAATTATTTCATTGCACCTGAAGGGCACAGGGTATAACAAGATTTCGAGAAAATTTAACATTCCAAGAGACACAACTGGGAGCATCATATGGAAATTTAAAGCTTATGGCACAGTTGCTAACCTGCGTGACTGTGGAAGGAATCCCAAAATTCCAAGTTACCATAGCAACTTAACCAGGAAGACTAATAAAAAAATTAAAAAAACGTTACTGCAAAAGACCTACAGGAAGACCAGACGAAGGCCGGGGAAATTGATCCATAGGCAACAATAGACCAACACAGGAAAAACAAAGACTTCATAGCTAGACTCTGAGAAGTATTCCATTCTTGGCCAAAAAGAACATCATAGGTCAGCTAGAATATGCCAGGAGGAATTTGGATAGGCCGGCATAGTTTGACAAGACAGTTGTATTGACTGATTAAACTAAACTGGGACTGTTTGGACACTTGGAGCAGTGTCGGGGGTGAGAAAGGCCAGGCTCATGACCAGAAGAATGCCACCACAGTCAAGCATGGAGGTAGGGCACTGATGATGTGGGAATGTTTTTCGGCTGGAAGAACTGACAATCTTGACCATGTCCGTGGCATCGTGGATTCCCAGGAACACCAGGTCAAGTGGAACATAATCCCTTCTGTTGGAAAATAGAAGCCGATGATTGGACTCTTCAGCTAGTGAGCTGGTATACACTCCATTCCATGCATTTAACGGATAAATAAATCAATGTTGTAATAAGTACCATGATATCAATTTATAGTGTTACTCTGGGTCCACTTTAGCAAAACATTTTTTTAAGAACTGCGTGACAACTGGGGGCTGAGCACTTTGCCCAAGCAAGGGCATTACAGAGCTCAATTTATGTTATCATTAATCTTCACAAAACTATAGTCTTATAGTCATTATTTAGCCTTTTGAGGTGGGGGGCTGGTTGAATATTTCTGATTGCACATACTAAAAATAACAAGACTTTCCAGGATGTGTGCATTTGCAAAAGTCTTAGGCCATCATAGGAAATGTGTAAGGGTATTTATCTGGGTTGTAAGTGTAAATTTTCCCATAACAAAAACATTTTAACTAGGGCTGTCAATCGATTAATAAATTACTAATTCATCATACATTTTTCAAAGAATTAATCGTGATTAATCACGAGTAAAAACTTTGATTTTCTTCTTGTTATTGCATATTTAAATGTAAAAACAATCACCAAATTAATGTAGAATAATCACAAAGGCTGTATATATCAGATACAATGTAGCAGGTCATGAATGGCAATGGAACAAAAAAGTGTCTTATGTAATGATTTATATGGTTTATAAGGTGTATATGTTTGCCCCATAATGCACTGCGCAATGATGTCAATTGTGTAAATTTATTTTGAAGCATTCAATATTTTTAATTAATCCCAAAAATATGTTCTTTTTGACAGGCCTAATTATAATATATGCTAATTAAAAATAATGTAGTAAAAACTAACACGAATTTCTCCTGTTCTCCAAAATGTTACTGATATCTTGTCAGATAGCTAGAAGATCACCGTTTCAGTTCCCAAACCTCTCCTCTGGGACACCCCAGCCATTCCATATATTAGTTAAATTTCACCACCAGCTTGCTTAAATAATTGGTTTCATTAGTGTTAAAAAGTCAATGGGGTATTGATTAGCCATACAAGGTGTGCTAAGGGTCAAGCCGAAAAATACATGGGTGTATTGGGTGCTTCCTGCGAACACTGGGGTGCCTAAGACTTCTACATGATACTGCATATGTTCATGTACTTTATGTGTACACATATAAAATAATCATTTGCTGGTGGGCTTGCAGAGGTGATCATCGAGGCAGCTCTATGCAAGAGCGTGCTGAAGCCCCTGCGTGAAGCTGTGTACTCACGCCTGCGAGACCTCCACACCCTGGACGGCTCCCTGGACCGGCTGCGGGAGCACCAGAAGGTAGTGCTGGGCACCACCACCACCGACCTGGGCATCACCACCAGTGTGCCTGAGACTCCTGCCATGGAGAAGATCCAGGTCAAGCTGGGCTCCCTGCATAAGGAATACTCCCCCGAGAAGAAGATCTCTCTCCTGCTGAAGGCCTGCAAGATTATCTACGAGTCCATGTCTGTGAGCAGCCCGGGTAAGTTTGGGACAACCAACTGCATCTTAGAAATTGTGATGATGCCTCAATTCCATTAGTGTAAGTCCATTACAGGCATTACACAAGGGCACGGTCACAGGGAAACTGGCTCTAGCAGAAAATTGATTGGCTCCCACAGTGCCTCCTCCACTGTCTATCACCTATTCAAAACATATCATTGGTTGGCCCCTCTGTATGAATATCGTCTCCTTTTATATTCCCCTCCCTAAAAAACTACCATAACCGCCCCTGTCTAAGGCCAGCTCTACTGATATTCCCCCAGTCGCCGAGCATGTGTACGAGCTTTGCTTATAGACATGTGGTGTCTTCACATATCCTGCATCCGCCCCTCATCTGCAGTAACCCTACCGTACACCTGCTTCTGCCCCACAGGAAAACCTCACGGTGCAGATGACTTCCTGCCCGTGCTCATGTATGTCCTGGTGCGTTGCAACATGACGACTCTGCTGCTGGACGTGGAGTACATGATGGAGCTGATGGACCCCGCACTGCAACTGGGGGAAGGTAGAGGCACTGATCAGAATGGTTTAATCCAGCAATGGGCAATCTCACGTATTTTCGGTTCTTGATCAACCAGCCCTTTCGTGCTAAAACCAGTCTGACTAAGCACGCATCTACTTACGTATAAACAAAGGAGATAAGGCGTGTATATGTGGCAGTCTACCGCTAACGCTAGCATTAGCAGCCGAATTGTGCTGGGAATATTCTTGTATTGTTTGCTTTTGTTGCTCTTTTGTTCCTCTATTTTGTTTTTAAATAAGCCACCTTGGATCCTAAGAAGGCTATTGATAGCAGCAAAAAGGAAAGTTGTCAGACACACACACATACACGTGACCAAAGGTTTAAATAGGCAATCATTTGGTGGTCTGGAACGGATTAATCCTATTTACATTATTTATTATGAGAAAAAATTGATTCGGTTTTCGACCAAATCAGTTTTCCGAACAGCCTCCTGTAACGGATTATGTTCGAGAACCGAGGCTCCACTGTATTTTACAATTGTGATTTTCTTGTAAAACAACCCTAAAGCAGAATGAACTGGAGACTGTCTCATTCAGCATACATGATTCCCTGTAATCTCTGTATCATTTCCATGGGACCTCGATGTGATGAAACGTTGTGTGTGTTTTACTGCTACTTCTGTGGCTCTGCTGCCTGTGCTAGGGAACCAATTTGGTCATGTTTCACTTATATGTGACTTAGGTTCCTACTACTTGACGACTACCTATGGAGCACTAGAGCATATAAAGAACTATGACAAGCTGGAGGTCACGGGCCAGCTTAGCCTGGAGATCCAAGACTCCATCCACCGCTGGGAGAGGCGTCGCACCCTCAACAAAGCGCGAGGATCCCGTACCTCTGTCCAGGTATCAGCTACTATGTGTGCTCTGTAGGTGAGCTTCACAATGTGGGCTGACACAGGTAGAGCTTTTGCTTGAGGCTGTGCCTTTAGGTCAGTGTTTCCCAATCTGGTCCTTGGGAGAGGATCACCTCTGCTCTGGAAGCTGGGAGGGAGCAAAAATGTGGACTGTCTGGCAGGATGCTAGGAAGGAGCAAAAACGTGGACCTGCTGTGGGTCCCTGAGGGCCAGATTGGGAAACACTGCTTTAGGATGTAGGGTGGAACTGGTGGGACCCAAGGTCTGCAGAATGGAACTGAAACATGGTGTCTAGTTTTTAACCATCTATGTCTCACCTTCCTCTCTGATGCAGGACTTCATCAATGTGTCCTTCCTAGAGGCTGGTTCCAACACCAAGACGCTGGGAGCCCATGCCAACACCACTGCCCTGGAACTGTGCGCCCAGTGCGCAAAGAAGTTCGACGTCCTGGAGCCAGAGTCCTACGGACTGTTTGTGCTGGTAGACGGCCACTACCGGCCTCTGACCCTGGACGAACTGCCCCTGGCTGTGAAGTCCAGCCTGCATCACAGTGAACCCCGCAAGGAGTATTACTTTGTGTACAGACCAGGGAGCATGGCGAAGGAGCCTGCATCTCTACAGACTCCCACCCCTCCAGACAGCTTAATCTGAGGGATGAGGCTAGGGCCAAACAGGGCCTTGTAAAGTGCTGGTCATGTGGTTTAAATTAGCTATACGTTTACCAAAAAACATTTTGTATAATATTTTATATGTAAAAGCTACTGTAGTTTTAAACTCATTTTAATCCTTTTTTATGGCACCCCCTGGATGAATGGAGGGGAATTAACTCAAAAGTACTGGTGGTGATGAAGCAATAAGCCCTGCTGTTGTCCCTTAAGGTGCAGCTGGCCAATCATTTCTATCTCAGGCAGTTGGCCCCACCCCTTTCCCCAGCCAATGAGATTTCATCTGTGGCCTCCTGTACTAACCTGGTGGTTGGTGCTAATGAGGATCCTCAGAAGCCCCCCCCCCCCAGCCTGCTGCATCATTGGCCAGCAAATGGCTGCCAGCCTTGTGAAGTGTTTCCATCGCTGTCCACATCCAATAACTCGGGAAGTACATAGCCCTTCTAGTTGGCTACTCTGATTTCCCTCAACTGTCAGTGAGTCAGAATTTACAATTCGGAGCTGGTTTGGAGCCTTTGGAGTGTTTACATTCCTGCTGTTATTTCGTCTCACGGAGGCCTTGTTGCTCCGCTAATTACATCCCTGATGCCACACATAACCCGCTAATTCAATATCCCTGACATCATTTGGCCAAACAATTAATCTCCACAGTTAATTTAGCATTGACTGCCCTTTCCACTGTGAGATTGATGATGGAGTTCCTTGAAGAACATAGCATGTACTTAAATATTAAACATTTATTCCCAGAATTTGTTGTAACCTGACTTAACTATCACTCCTATCATTGCAATAAATGTTAACTGTCTCTGACAAGTACAATTATATTTGCAAGCAATAGAATACAACTTTGCAAAGAAATAGTTATACAGAGTTTCTGTTTTTATTCCGTTATCCTCATTTACATATATACCCAAACTCTTCTAGAGATATATACTAGATCTCATCATAATGGTTTGTCTGACTAAACCTGGATGTAATTAATTGTGTATCCTAGTATAATGAATTAAATTTAGAGGTAAAATAAAATAACTGACCTGATTATTTGGCCCTTGTTCCAGAGCGCAAAGTGCGGTCACTAGAAAGTCACTTTCTCATAGACTTTGTGTCATGAAGCTCTTTAAATGACCAAGAAGATCATCATGATTATAAAAACACAGGTTAACATTTTCATCAGAGGTAATTTTATGTGGGTTTTGTAGTATTTTTCATGCTGATTTCAAATCTGTGTTTAGTTTTTCTCTAGCGCGTCAAGTTTTAGTGATGAAGCTATATGTAGTATGATATTACGCACATGTAGTCTGTCTAAGTGTATTACAAGAGTTGTCTATGTTTTTTATCTTATAGACAGCATCACCATTCTCTAGGTGACTAGATATTAATTTGTTTTATTGATACTTATCTAGTTGCGATTTGAGTATGATTAATTTGACCTAGTGCACATGTCTTGTGTATACAACTTAGTATGGTGGGAAACATAGGTAGTTGTGCCTCAGGTTTCGTTTTGCTGATGTAAGCTTCTCGACTTGTTGCAAAAGAAATACTAAATCTAACTCTCGAGTTTGAATTTTGGGTCATCGAATGGAAATCAAAGGCGGAGGTGACAGACAGCATCAACTGTGTTGGCTTTCAGTTGTTATCATGCCTAGAAATTGTATTAATCATCCAGACAGTTTCTGTTATGTG